TGAGTGTTAAACGTGGAGGGATACTAGTGTGTGCATTGTGATCGATATCAATTTGCTATCACGGGATCTAATTATATGGCTAATAGATTAGTCATAGTTAGTGTGATCGTGCGAGGACGTGTGATAAATATTTCTATTATTTTGAATAAACCGTGACTTTCCTAAAAAGATTATTTTCATAATAGCAAGACAAATCCAGTGTGGCTATTCGTAGATTTGAGGGTTATGTCGACATCGTCATATAGACCGTTTGTAATGAAAAAGATTACGGAAAAAGACATTTGAAAAGGTAATTACATCTGAATTAATATCTACTATATATGTATACTGTGCGGATACCCGGCGTTGCCGGGTGGAAATCAGTGGCGTTACTCAGTTGGTGACCGCTTCGTTGAAAGAAAAATACCCAAAAAAATCTAACTATCTATCTATTCATGCATCCATCCATGCATCCATCCCATTCCATTTGCCATCCCATCCATTCGCACACCGCACCCCATCCCACGCCATGCCATCGCATGCCATCCCATCCCATCCCATCCATCCCAAAACAGTAAAAAATAATACGAAATAAAAAATAATACATACTAAAGAGGTAGGTAAAAAGAAAAAAATGAAAATAAGTTCTCCAGCTGGGACTCGAACGCGGAATCCAGTGTAGGTGCCGCTGTGTTCTAGCGATTATGCCACTGCGCGCTAAAGGCGCCGGACACACCAGGGCGATTGCATCGGGCGATGGCATCGGCCGATGCATCGGGCGATGGCATTCGCCCGATTTCTATCGCGCCAGTCAGTGGACACACCAGGCGATTGCATCGGGCATGCGCATCGCCAATTCTTGCGCCGCGCAGATTGCGGAGAGGAGAGATCGAGTGAAGGATGAGAGAGGAAGAGGGATGCGAGGAGAGAGAGGAGAGAACGAGATGAGAGAGAGAGAGAGAGAGCCTTAGAGAGAGAGACCGTGGGGACGTGCGAGAAAGAAAGAAAGAGAGTCGGGGTAACAACAAAATGGCAGCGTCCAGAAAGAAAATAAATAGAAAACGGAAACTTGCATATGCAATGGCAGCGTTTATATCACGACTTTACGACGAACAAGGAAGCGCAGTAACGCGTGGGAGAACCGTACCCACTGGGTTAAACCCTGGGTTGGTCGTCGACGACGCCATGGGTATTTATAGCTTATTGAAGAATTATCTCCTGCCTCATGAAGTCTGCCATTTGTTCGAAATTACGTCAGTATCATTGAACAACTCTGATTGGCTGTATGAATTGTTACAATCGGGCGATGTTATCGCCGGTCGCGGACACACCAGGTGCGATTGCATCGGCGATGGATCGGGCGATAATATCAAAACGTTTTGATCTGTGCGATGGCATCGGCCGATGGCATCGGGCCGATGAAACGGCGGCGATTGATGTGGACACACCAGGCGCGATTTTTCACGGCGATGCATCGGCCGATGCCATCGCCCGATGCAATCGCCTGGTGTGTCCGGCCCTTAAGGTATACACATGGATTCACACGTACGTGATGTTAATCTGTACGCACCGCCATCTATTGATGAACAGAATTTTTATCAGCATTTTAGCTTTTAAAAATTTTTGTTCAGCCAGAACCACCTCCCAGACGTGCGCTGAGATTCTTGAAAACATCTTTAGTTTTCCCTAGTTATGCGAGTACGCGACTAATTCGCTGAACAACTTTATATATATATATATATATATATATATATATATATCTTTCCCTTCCTCTCCACCCCTCCCTCTCTCTCTCTCTCTCTTGCTCCCCCCCTCTCTCTCTCTCTCTCTCTCTCTCTCTCTCTCTCTCTCTCTCTCTCTCTCTCTCTCTCTCTCTCTCTCTCCCTCTCTCTCTCTCTCTCTGTATCTATCTATCTATCTATCATATTATATATATATATATAATATATATATATTATATATATCAGAGTAGATAATATCCTATTATCTACTCCTGATATATTATGTATATGCTAGTTAATTATTACTATTCATGCGAATTGATGCGATGAGAGGT